TCGCCCCTGGACTTGAACGATGATGTGTACATGGAGATTGAGAAGCCACCCATCCATGAGATCATCCGCCACACCCGCACCGCCTCTCATGCTCGGTATTACGTGCGTCGTGAGGGTCGTTTGCCCGCTTGGGAAAATGAAAGCGAGCTGTCTGACCAAGATGCCCTCCGAGCGTACGAGACCGGGATGGCCTTCAATGACAAGCGTCAGAAGAGGGCAAAGCGGGCCGTTACGGCTGCTCCACGATACATGCAGCTCCGCTCTCGCAAGGGACGCCGACCCACCTGAATGGTCACCATACGGCCATTTGTCATCAGCCAGTGAGCCATCTGTGCAGTGTGTGTCATGTGGGTCACCGTGATGTGTTGTGTCTGGCCGTTGGTGACGACCCGTTCGATCTCTGTCGCGCTCAATCTCCGTCGTCCTCGATCTCCTCGTCCTCGATGTGCCAGTTCGATGCCTATGGAATGCAGGGTGGATTCCGTCGACATGTTTGGATGTTCGCTTCCTTGGATGTTGCCATCTGATACTCACCGCTCTGATGTCTTGACGCGTATCTCTTCGTTCTGGATGGCAACCAGCACTTCTCGCGACACCTGGAGTGCACAGACCACATCTCGTTTTAAGAGCCATCACATGGGTGTGCGCCATCCTCCTCGGCGCGTGCTCGTGGCCCACCCATGCAGTTTTGACTTTCCCTCGTCTACTTGATCCACCTGATGCCCCATCTGGAGTTCTTCTTCCTCGCTCGGGCGCCCAGCTGACCATTGCTGAACCGGTCTGGTGTGCCGTCACACGCCCCGCTGGCTGCCCTTACGCCGTCACTTGCCTACCTTGCCCTTGTCGGCCGACTGGAGGCCATTGCTGTCGTCCTCAATGTCCCCTGCCGTCTGAAGTCGTCATCATAATGCAGCTGGATATCATCTGAGAAGAGAATGCCAGTAAAGGACCGTGCTCAAGTCGGTGCAGAGGCTTTCCTTCCTCCTTCCTCGCTGTGCGTACCTCTGATCCTGATGGTGAAGCCCCCTGTCCGTGCTGAGCGGCTCACTCTGGACTCACAAGTGCCCTGAGTCAACTGAAGGCTCTTGGACGTGTCGACCTCTCGTTTTTTCCCGGAAGGACTGCTCTTTCTGCCCATCCCTGGTGTCCGCTGACTGATCAGGATTCGCTGCAGACGACTCGGACGCCTATCCTGATCTTGCTGCCTTGTCTGTCACGGCTTACCTGCCATGTTGATATTGGTTTTAATGAGGACCTTCCCCCTCACCTCTCTGCGTCACTGTCGAGCTCCTTTCCCCTGGCCTGACGATTGGAAGTCCCGAGGGACCTGCTGCTTCACCACCTGGTGCTGTTGTCGATAAAGCCCTGCTACTGGCGTCGATTTTGCCCTCCTTTCCTCGCTCTCTCGGCCCACTGCCTGTCTGCGAGCTTTTGCGGGCTGCCTTCTCCTTTTCCGCGCTCGAATCCATTGTCGAAGCCGTGTGCCTCGCGCTTGACCGGCGGGGTTGTGTTGCGAAGTGCTCACGATGCCCTTCGCCCCTGCCTGTGACCCTGATGAAGGCGCTCGGCTCAGATGACTGGAAGTGTGGACGTGTGTGTCTGGACGTGATGGACGGATGGATTGGATTCCGTGGACCGTGTGCTGATGGACAGGATGCAGCCCTGGATGGATGGATGGAGCTGATGCTGGTGCTGATGGATGACGGGCTGAAGGATAGCAGTTGGGTGTAGGCAAGCATGACGACAAGCCGTAGATGGGCACAGGGGAGGCAGCCAGGGAAGATAAAGGGCTGGTGATGAATAAGTGCGCTAGATAAGCCCGCAGTGCATGCATGCGTGGGCTTGGGGGCGTAAGACGGGAGATAGCAGAAGTTGGCCAGGCGAGTTAGTGCCCGTTGCGTTTCATGATTGTTATCGTTCGCTTCCGATATGACCTGAGTCATTCTCTTGAGATCTGTTGCTTCGGCACGATCTTTGGTCCTTCCGACCATTCCCTTCGGCAGGGCGTCTTCCCAAGCCGCCCTTGGAGCCGCAGAGTGATGGTGGAGTGCTCATGTGAGTGATGGTGGAGTGCGCAAGTGAGTGATGGAGGATATCGAGTACGTCGCCCAGCTGGTCACCCTCCCGGTGAGTCCGCAGCGAGGCGGCACGAGTACTCGTACGACAGCTAGCTGCCCTTCTTGCATCATCTTCCCTCAGCCAGATCTTGCTCTCTCTCTGAGTCCATGTGCCTCCTCGTCCTTCCAGGACTCGCCCCTGTGCTGACCTACTCCTCTCCCCTCTTCCCGACTGGCCGGATGCACGTCTTGGGATGCTTTTGGGGTCATGTCTCATCGGGATTACATGCACGCATATCTGCTTGAGATCTGCCTGTCTGTCCATCTGTGTTGTCTCTCTAGCCTCCCAGTGTGTGCCTACGTATCCGCCACAAGGTCCGTCCCCTCGCCGATCACATACTGAGGCAGACAGCACATGCATTTGACCCGCACATCAGTCAGGGGAACACGGGACTCTCTCTCGGAGCGGACGGCACGAAAGTGTATGTGTGGCTGGCTACCTCTCTCTCTCTCGGTGGCTGAGATCAGTTGGTCGTCTGGTGTGTTTGGCTGCGCGTATGGGTGGCTGGCATGCTTCGCGTGTGGGTTTGACCGTTGCCAGAGAGAGGACATCCGCACCATGACACTTTTGTAACACTGGTGCATCTGGCGTTCTTGTTTTTCCATTTGCGGGTCTGTCGTTTGGCTGCGGGGAGGTGGTCTGCGCATGGGCGCTGTCGTCATTGTGTTTGGTGTTGGTTTGGATGGATGTGTTTCGGTCTGGATGAGAGCGTGATGGTGTCCGTGTGGCCGTGGGGAGGATCAGATCAGCCGCACATGACGAGCCAGCCTCAGCCAGATCTACCACGAGAGCACCGGCACTCAACAGCGCGTCATCTCTCTTGTCCTTTGCTGTCTTTGCTGTTGCTGCTGTTGGGGCGTGTGCTGACGGTCTCAGGTTGAGTTTGTTGCTGCGTTCTCCTACGTCGACGACGTCATCGTCATCTCCCGCACTCCTGCCCTTCTCTTTCGGCTACTCTCTCACCTCATACGCGTCGGTCGGCTGTCCTTCACTGCTGCCCGGCGTGTGCGCTGACCGTCCTGTTCGAAACCACCCATCTGATCCTGTTCGAAGTCTTTCTGCCCTGCTGATGCCCCTGCGTCGTCTGGTGTCTGTAGCTGACCCTCGTCTGCCCCCTCTTTGCTGCCCTCTCTGCTGTCGTCATGTCCAAGCCCTCATCTCGTCCATCTCGTCCTCCTCGACCCTCTGATCTCGTCCGTGGCCACCTGTTCACCGACCACAACGCGCCCAGTACCATCCGTGAGAAAGTCGACCGCTCGCTCAGGAGAGTGAAATACGACCGACGAGACCAGCACGAGCTGGTGGGCTTCTTCTACGCGAAAGAGCAGATCACTGACGAGATAGATGAGCTCGATGAGCGGCGCGACAGGTCGGCCATCTCAAGGGGGGAGTACGACAAGAGTGTGAACGACGCGAAGCGCCGTCAGTCCGTGGTGCAGAAGGAGATCGAGCGTCGCACGGCGACTCGGCGGTCCCCTCCCCCTCCCCGCAAGCGTGCACCTCGTCCTCGCTCCCGTTCTCGCTCTCGTTCTCGCTCTCGGTCTCGTTCTCGTCATCCGCCGCCCCCCCACCGACACGTCACGTTCGACAGGAGCGGTGTTGCTGCGCGGCGCCACGGTGGTGTTGAGCTCAAGCGTGCTGCTGTCGTCCGAGCAGAGAGAGCGGCGCGTGTGCAGACGACTGTGGCTGCTGAGCCGTCGCAATCGTCCGAGACCCAGCAGCACCCCACAAACCCGCAGACGACCACACCACCGCCGCAGACGACCACACCACAGCCCCCATCCGCCACGCCCGAGCCCCAACACGCGCCCGACCCCAACACCGAAGAGGTCG